TCACTAATAAACTAAAATAATCCTTTTCTGGGTTAAACTCCACCTCTTTCCTCTTTTTCACTAGAAAAAGAGGAAAGGACACATTAGGGCAAATGGCAACATTCAGACAAAACAAAGGGCAAAACAAAGACTTGAGTGAAGGCGGTGATGTCACAGGGCCATGAAACCAGGTGGCTGAGGCTCCTGGCAAGTTTGATAAAGGTGTTGTTTATCGAGGAATGATGTCTTTGGCAGGCCTCAGCTCCACAGCTCCATGGATACAGGAGGGGGTGGGGAGGGAAGAGCGTTGTGTTTACATATCTTCAAGGAGATTAGAAATATGCAGCCCTTCCAAGGCCACATGGGGAAAGCCAATTCAGAAACAGAATGTCTTAGGTCAGGAAGATTATAAATTTCAATCTTCCCTAAAGTCTCTCTGATACATCTCAGTTCCCAATCATCCAAATTAGTTTGGTCGTTCCACTGAGCCGAAACTAGCAACTTCTCCAAGATCGATTCCATTCCATTAGTGAGTTTTAGAGTCCTTGTCTCTGTCCACAACAACAGTCTGAGTGTTTGCTAGTTCGGCCAAGTCCATCACAAATTTGTTGATAATCCAGGAATCCACAAGCTCCAAACAGCAGAAATCCTGTTATCATGAATAAATCCAGGGTGAATCCTGCTGGGTGTGTCCCCGCAGGACAAGAGGGCTCTCCTGTGCCCAGACTTCTCATCGAGAAAATTTGATCAATTGCATTGAGAGATCGGTTGACCAGATCCATAATTTGTAGATTTGGTGATTTGGAGGAAGACACCTTCCATGTGTATTTATCGCCAACCATACAGAATCATGTCATCCAGGATGGATGTTAATGAAAGGTCTGAACAAAGCTTTAAACTCAACTTAGTAAACAAACAAGGTTTGCTTCCTAAAAGCATGCAGCGCCTTACGTCACTGGAAGACAATGCAGTGATATCACTTTTAGTTTTATGACCTTCAAACAGGTGGGATATTTGCTGAGTAGTCTGTACTTTGATCTGTCCAGGTTTTATAATAATAATGATCTCATTTCTTTTACTAATGCCTCCCTGACCCATTAAAGACCTCCCGATGTTGGTAGAAGAAACCCGTCTGGGTCCCTTTCAAATTGGACCTGAATTGATCAAATATGATGGATATTCTGAACTGTTTTGGTCAAAAGAAATCTCAGATTAAACACAGATTAAAAGTTTAAATTCAGTGTTTTTATTGTTGAACTGTTTACAGATTCCCTTGAGTCTGACTGAGATTCTGCAACTAACGACTAGTAGTAATCTATTAATCTGGAGATTAACTGGATTAAAAATTGGCACATTCTGCATATTTTTTATTTAACTATTCAAGCGGTGAAGCTGCAACTATGAGGAATTTTGGTGAGGACATATTTACAAAGGAGTTTTCTGAAATTATAACAACATTAAATATTATTGTCTCCATGATTCCTGCTGTTTAAGACGTGAAAACCTGACTGCATGTCTGTACGTTGTAGGCCCTCTGCCCATGGAAGACATCGCAAAAATGGCTGACGAGTGCATGCGAGACGTGGATGAGGATGATGACGACGACAACATTGAAGATGATGAAGATCTTTTGGTTGGTGCTGAACGTGTTACACACTCATGTCAGAGAAACTGATCATTTTGCAGTGGTCTCTTAATTTTTTCCACAGCTCTATGAGAAGTGGGGCCATAAAAATAAACAGTAAAGTCAAAATGCTATGAGAATAAAGTCGTAGTTTTACCAGAATAAAGTTATGTTGTGAGAATAGTTGTACGAAAACAAAGTATTATATAACCTTATTCTTGTAATTTTACTTCTTTTATCTTCTAATATTCCATTGAACCAGAAAAGTTATTTTCTTTTTAACTCAAAGCTACAGCTAGTTCACCCTGTAGAAGAGCAGCAGAGCTTCCTGTAGGTTAGTAATGGTAAACATTAATTTAGCAGTGTGAAATGATCGTTTGAGATCATCTAAGTTCTCAAATGATCTTACATGTCACTGCGCAGGTGGAAAACTTTCCATTCATCTGTCAAGATGAACACCGCCTGGTTGTTGATCAGTGGGCGCTTTCTTTCTCCATCAGGCCGAGCTCCAGGAAGTGGTGGGCGACGAGGAAGTCGGGGACGCAGCAACTCCTTCCTCCACATCCTCCGCCTCTGCTGACTCTTCTCAAGTCGAAACAGTCGAGCCTCCAGCTGCACAGGTATGAAACAAACAAAACACATCAAGTAGATTTTTTTCTGTTTTTAGTTTTTCAAACTGGAAGGAAGGAATTTCTGCCCTAATTTCCTGTAACGCGAGTGTGATGACTTATTTTGGAAACAGTCCAACTGGTAGTTATTTCGGTTGGATGGCAGCTTTAAGTTCCTTGCATGACTTTAATATTTTAAATGATTTGTGTTTTTCAAATTCTAAGCAGTCATTATTTTGGTGTTTATTTCCTTGGATTGTTGCTCCTGTGCAAACAGGAGAGGTTTGCAGCTCACAGTTTGCATATTGACTAATTTATTCGACTCCGGCTCTTTTCTGTGTTTGTTTACGTTACCTGCTTGTTTATTTTTTGCATGTGGCTGAACCAGGAAGTAAAGGTCTCCACTGCGGCGCCCGGTAGCCTCCAGCATACGCTGGAGGAGCGAGCAGAGATGTACAAGACGGCGATACAGAACGCAAAGTCTGCAGGAGAGACATCTAAAGCCAGAAGATACGATCGGGGTCTGAAGGTTGGTAAAGATGCACCATGATGATGAAGATCCAACTTATTTAAAGGCTCACTCACAGAGGATATGTCTGAATTTAAAAAAGATGTGTGTTTTTGTGAAAGATTTGTTTATAATTTTTTCCTGTCTGTTGGAAGGAATTAAAATTTCAAATTAAAATATCCTGTTTGTTCTAGAAGTTGATAATACTGACCTGAATTAATACATGTTCATTTCAACAGTAAAGAGCCTCCTTTTTATTTTGTGTTCAAAACAGAGATCGGCAAGAATAGAAGAAGTTTTTTAAGTGATTAAAAAACTTTCTATTCTGTAATAATGCTGCTTTCCTCTTGACAGACTCTGGAGTCGATGATAGCCGCTGTGAAAAAGGGAAAGCCTGTAAACGAATCGGAGATCCCGCCGCCTGTAGCTACCGGAGCCCCGACCGCCGCGCCTCGACCAGCTGTCCCTTCCAGACCCGCTCCCCCCGTCCCCTCGCGTCCCGAGCGGGAGACGGAGACGACCACGCTGCCGACTGCCTCGCCCGACGCCGTCACACCCAGCAGCGAAGAAGAGCGGTCTTCTGCTGCTAGCGTACCGACTCTGAGCGACCGTCCATCGCCTGAGGAGACTCCCGCTGAGCTGTCAAAGCCCCGACCGACAGAATGTAAGTTTTACAGTTAATCATTTATTTTAATATAAAAATAAGTTAAGTTTCAATAAACAAGAACAAAAAATGTTTTCTATCTTGCTGGCCAAAATCCTGCTGGCATCTCTTTTTATCATCTTGTTGGCACCAATGTGTTTAAATTCAAACTAGCTTAATCGCATGATAAATTAACACAAGCTCAATGATTTGTATTTGCATGATTTATTGTTTTCTCTTTTCTCTCTTTCTACAAAAAAATGTGACAAAGGTCTATATTGGTCTCAACTGGACCTTTTTTTAAAGACAGTTTTATTTACAGAGGCTTCATTGTTTGTTTTATTTGTTGTTTATGTTGCTTTGTTTATATATTTTGGAAATTTAAAATGTTAAGTGTTCATTAGAATTGAAAGTTTATGTATTTTTGAGAATGTGTCTTTGCATTATATTAGTTGAAAATGATCCCAAAATAACAATATTATAGTTTATCGCAATAATTTATCAACCAGCAGAATTTGCTATCATGACAAATGCATGCATGTATGTCGTTCAATACATAAACTTTATTGATATAACTGTTTCTAAGTTTATTCTAGTGAAGGTATTCATTCTGTGTCAGAGACTCGTGCCTTTCATTGGTCTGAGTGGAACAGCTGACCTGCTGCCTGAATGAGGCTTTTCTCTCTGGTAACCGTTTCCTCCTCCGTTGCAGCCGAGGCGACGAAGGCGATGCTTCTGGAGAGGCAGAAAGAATACAAGCTGGCAGCTCTGAGAGCGAAGAAGGACGGAGACATGGAGCAGGCGAAGCTTTACTTCAGGACCAGCAAGGCGAGTTCAGTCACCCTGACAAACGTTTTAAAATGTCCTCTGTGTAAAACATCACGCTTTGTTATCCAAGTGAAGTTTTTTTTTTTAAAAAGCAGCCAACGGCTTGGTGGACAGATCCTAAGAAAAACTGCAAATACAGTTTTTAAAAATATATTTTATAGATCCTGTGTTGCATCTGCAGGTTTTATGTCTCATTTATTTGAATGAAATTCAGTCAGGTTGTTGAGCAGAAAATGACTTTGTAACAATTGACAATGTTTTTGTCCTTATTTTCAGTGTTTCCCCTTATTAACTGTTAAAGGTTGCTGCTGCTAAAATCACATAATGTATTGATTATTATTGTTTATTAAGGACTTACTAAGATTTATTTATTGTATTTTTATAGTCATGACAGAGATTTATAAATGTTTTTTTTTTTAATTCAAGTAAACATGTTTAGGGAAGTCAAACATAAAGTTTCATTTTGATCATGTCTGCTGTTACAGCTGGGTGTTTATTAAAAGGATGAACAGTGTGGTGGGAGATTAAACCAGAAATTCAGAGTTAAAACTCCCTGAATTCACCAGAAGTTTCCATTTTAAAGTGGCTGCTGCTCAGCATTTTGCTGTCCTGTTTTTCATAACCTTCATAAACACGTTACCAAAAACCGTGTTTACGCTCGCGGCCTTTACCTCACGCTGGCTGCTCAAACCCAGGCAGTGACTTAAATATACGTTATGTTGTTGTGCAAAAGCCTCAGCGTGTTGTTGGCTGCTCCAGATTCTGCTGAGCAGCATTGTCCTCAGTTTGGACGGACGCTGGAAGACGAGCAAGCTGCTTTCATCTTGCATTTTATCACCACTTAAAACTCACTGGACAGGTTCAGTAAGAAAAACGTTTTAACATTTCATACCTCCACTTCCCTTTATGAAGCGCAACAATGTTATCTGTTCTGGTCAAAATAACATTCTTAGTAGTAAAAATTCAAACTAAGGGTATTAATAGTTATGATTTGTGGTAGAAATTCACCCGTAGAGATCTAGAATTACAACAACTAGAATGACAATTTGAAGAATAGCGTTCTAGATTGCTTAAATGTTGACTGCTGATGGGAAGAATGTCATTTTTAAAATCGTATTTATACTCTTAATATCAAAATAATGTAAAATAAATAAAAAGAAATAAATAAAAGCACCCAAACTAAAAATATTATTAAATAATAAACTGTATCTATGATAAGAAAGTGGATCATCACAGTGGTTTTATCAAGTTTGGATGCTAAAAATGAAACCAGAACTTCTGAGTTTCACATATTCTACCCAACTACCACCATAAACTAGATTGTTTGGGCATTTGGTTGAGAAAACCTGTTATTTTTTCATCTTATTTATGTCAAATGTTATCTAGGGTTGGTTTGTCTGTGATTCAGGAAGTTTATCACTCTAGAAATCAGAAATGCACAAATTTTTTTATGAGGAAGAATAGATATATTGATTTAAAAAGGAAAAGAAAAGCCTATTAAATGTGAAAGTGGCTTGCATTAGAGCCAACACTCTGGCACCTTACTTAGGGTTTACTTTAAACTGCAGCGTTGCATAATATTTAGTGGTATGAAACCATAACTTGTTCCTGAAGCCGGAACCAGCTCATGCCTAGTGTGTGTGTGATTAACTTGTGTAACAGATTCAGACACCAAAACAGAAAGCAGAGCAAACGAAATGGACAGAAATGTAGATTTAGATAATATAAAAAAGATTTATAAACTGTAATTTGTTTCATTGGAATACAAGGTTCAGGTCTGTTCTGTAGGAAGGTAACCTCGTGTGATTTCTGTTGTAATCAATATGTCAAAAATAATATAGTGTTAGGAGAAACACTGTAAAGTTTGTCACTTTAGCTGCTTAATAAAACTGTTTTCCTCAGTCAGACGTTTAAGACGTTTGCGTTCTGTTTGTGTTGCTGCCAGATTTCCCTCAGAGGAATGTGAAGTGAAATATGCCAACAATGCCAGAGCTGACACAAGAGCATCATTATGTGTTTTGTTTTTTTTGTGCAGAACTTCGACGCAGTGATCGAGGCGTTGGAGAAAGGACAAGCAGTCGACCTCAGTGGCCTTCCTTCACCGCCTGGAAAAGGTCAGGAATGCTGGAAATGAGTCGGGTTTTAATAGGGAAGAAGATCTGAATGCTATGGAAGAACACTGCAGTCACAGAGGAAAATAATAGACATCATCACCTTATAATGTGATAATTATATTGGAGAATCGTGATGCCTATGCAAATGTGATCAATTTATTTCAAATGGTGGATTGTCCCAGTTGATTTTTCCTCCAATAACGTCCTTAGCGACTAAATTCATATTCAGATTCACTTTATTTTTACAAAAAAGAAAACAAAATGTTACTTTTACAAACCAATAATTTACCAAAAAAGGAGTGGAGTCCCCTGCATGTCGTGTTGACAACTAGTAGCAAATCACTGCGTCACGTTTTCTTTTATATACCGGGCGTAAATTTAAGATTTAGCATGTTATATTGATAATTTAACTGCTAAAACCAACGCTAGTCATTGTCAGCAAGCAGCTTTTTCATCATCTTAGGAAGGTGGAGGCGTGACGCTGCGATGAAGTCAATTCTAGCCAAGACTTAAACCTGCCTATAACTGATAAATAAGACAGTTATTTGTCTCTCTAAAAGAGTTTAAGATGTGTTTTAATACTTGAACTTTCTGTTTAATTGGACTGAAGTCGTTTGAAACTAAATGTTCAATCAACCCTGATTTCCTTATTAAGGCAACTTTTCAATAATAAATATATACCTGGACTCAGGACTATAACTAAGTGGATATAAATGGCTTGTATTGTGAAATAACATTGAATTCAGAAATGTGTAATCTGTGTTTTTGTGCCTGGGATGAAATATTCGGCTCTTGTGTTCCAGGTGCAGGAGGAATCTCTGCTGCAGTGAGCAAACCTTCATCTGAGCAAAACCTGCAGGCCTCCCACACTGTTACTGCAGCATCTGGTAGTTATCCATTAAATGTTTAATTTCCCGTTTGTTTTTTGTCGTGTTGTTACCAAGTTCCTATCGCTCTCTTTCCAGTTAACTCCTCTTTGATTTAAGTATTTTCTATTCAAATATTTTGTATCGCCAAACTTTATTTCACATCTTTTTGTCAACAAGTTGGTCCATCCACCCATCAGTCTGTCCATTTGTTTGTACGCCTGTCCATCTGTCTGAGCAAATCTTCATCCATCTATTATTTATCCATTGATTTATTAAACTATAATCAATGTTTATCAATCTATCCAGGTGTCCTTCCTCTATTTATCCGTCCATCCCTTCAAACTCCTCACAGACTTTTTTGACCTACATCTAGACTTACTTATCTTTAGGGAGAGAGCGATGAAAGAAAAGTCTCTTTATGTTTGACTTTGGAAAACACACAGGAACCTTGAGTTGTTATTAACATGTACCACCAAGCGTCTCTGTGTCATGAGGTAGAAACTGAAGAATTAAAACTGTTTCAGGCCCTGCTGGCCCTTCGGCTCCCAAAGACGTCCTGGAGGCTCTGGAGCAAAGACGAGTGAAATATGTGGAGGCATCAAATCAGGCCAAGGCCAGCGGAGACGACCGCAAGGCCCGGATGCACGACCGCATCGCGAAGGTACGAGGGAACGAATGCCTCTTAGCGTCTCTACAGACTGCATGTTTTCAGTGCTTCCACACAGCAGGTGGATTATTTTTCACTCCTTTATTAGTGCCTTAAAAACACTAAATGTTACTGTATTTCGGTTAGTTTCTCATGAGATAACTTAATTCTCTTGAAATGAATCAAAACTAACTTTCAAGTAGCTTTAAAAAAGCTTATTTTAAGGCAATACTTTCTTAATGTTGATAAAGAAATACTAGTTCACTTATAACAAGGAATAATGTCTGGTTGTCAGTAAAATTATCTGCCATAAATAGCAATTTTTCATTGAATTAAGGAATTATTTACTTAAACTCATGTATCTTCCTGAAAAGTTACTTCTCAGTACATTTCGGCTTAAGTCAAGTGAATTTGTTACCATTTACAATTTATTTTTACTTTTATTTTGCACATTTATTTCAGATCATCACAGATTTTATAGTACAAGAAATAGAAGACAGAGTAATTTCCTCCCTAATTTAACTCGTAAATTATGTCAGTCAGTTTCCCATCAGACATGTAGAAACAGAGCTTGAGTGATTTCAGGAAGTAGGGTAGAAAATCTACTTGTTCTCTTTGTAAATCACAACTTATTGTAACTAAAACCGTTTTAATGTTTCTCTGCTGCAGCAATACCAGAGCGCCATCCGGGCTCACAAAGCCGGGAAACCAGTCGACTTCGACGAGCTTCCAGTTCCTCCCGGTTGGTACCATGTTGCTAATTTTATCTCATTTTATGGGTTCATGTGCCGCTTAGTCGTCATTGCTGTTGGATTTGTGCCAGCTTCTAGGCATCATAGGTCTATAAAATTCACCAGAAGGTGGTGAGATCAGAGCAGGAGTTTCTTTAGCTGAATATTTTTCATGTTTGATGGTTTATTTTGAAGACGGTGAAAAATCTGAAGGCTGTCTGTGATTTTAATGCTGCGAAAACAAAATTTGACCAAGTAAGACAAAACTAACTCTCAGCTTTTGTTTCAGCAAGAAACAAGAGCAAAAGTGCCAGTTCCACTGGCAGATTATTACAATGCCAGATTATTACAATGTAATAATCTGCCAGTTCCACTGGCAGATTATTACATTTATCTAATATAAATGTAATAATGTAAATTATTATGTTTATATAACATAAATCTGACCTGTAAATTGCTGCGTTTTCAATCAGAATTTTTCATCCTGGTTAAAAACGCTAAGTGTGGTGCTGTGGTGGCGCAGGGGCAAAGCACAACCCACGTATTGAGGCCTTGGTCCTCGTGGCGGTGGTCCCAGGTTCGATTCCCGGCCTGGTGACATTCGCCACATGTCTTCCCCCTCTCTCATTACCCTCTTTCATGTCGAACTACTTTCAGATAAAGGCCACTAGAGCCAACAAACCTTTAAAAAAAAAATCTAAGTGTCAGGTCGATGTTCCAGGTTTTCCTCCGATCCCGGGCCAGAAGGTGGCAGGCGATGAACAGGGGCTTGTCGCTACGCTGGAGGCGGCCAGCAAACTCGCTTCCACTGATGTTGCTGATGAAGATGATGATGAAAAGGAGGAAGAGGTGAGTTTTCTGGGTTGTTTTTTATTTTTATACAGTAGGTTTTTTTCTCCTAACTTACCGAATCTCTCTCAGTCTAAGGTCGGTGTTTTAGAAAAGCCGAAGAAGCCGACGTTGGACGTCCCGTCAGCCGGTCCGGAGAGGAAACGCTCGCCGTCGGCTTCGCCTGACAGAAAGTCTGCAGAGGAAAACCTCTCGCCTGCAGGTTTGTCTCTGAATCAGCATCGTTTACTGACTGGCTGGATCAACGTCCAAATAAACAAAACGTTGCCGACCTCATGAGGACATAAATAATATTTGGACACCCCTGTAATGGTCTTCTTTAGTTCGTTTTTTTGTTTTTATTTCTAAAGTGGTGTGCTGGAAAAGTTTAGTCTTGAAAAGAGCTTGAGTTATTTTGAGGGAAAAGCGTGTGAATCCTGCGTGTCGCTCCTGTTTGGGTTGATTTCTGTGTGTCCTCTCCAGCCGCTCAGCTGCTGGAGCTTTTGGACAGCAGGAAGAAACAGTTCATGAAGGCGGCTCTGCAGGCCAAGCAGAAGAACGACATGGAGCAAGCAAAGGTTTTCCTCCGCACCGCGAAGGGCTTGGACCCCATGATCGAAGCGGCGCGCAGCGGCAAAACGGTGGACATCAGCACGGTGAGCAGGAAAACAGGCTGCATCCCTGCCTTCTGTGAAACATCGCCACCTTCAGGAAGCTTTCACACCTGGTGGACTCTGTTCAACTGAGGAGCAAAGTACAACAGCGGTTATATTTTCAGCCGGTGGGGTTTGCATTCACACTGCACAGAGTCAAACCATCCAAACTGGTTTAAAAACTGTTCCCCTCCTGGCCTGTGGGGGCGCTGCACCAATAACTACTGAGGGAATTGACACGAAACCCTTTGAAAAAGACTTGAGTTCAACTTTTTTCTTCATAGAATGAAAACAAAAATATTTTAGCGGTTGAAGAATTAGTTTGGCCATCGCCAACGGGTGTAAAATCACTTTAAATTCTGCCGTTCCTCGATCTCCGGGTCGGCTTTACTCGACACGCAGACCCGTTGCCGTGGCAATCGACACAACGCCTCCGCTAACCCACAGAGCAGAGGGTGATATATTGACCAGAATGCCCTGCGCTGTCGTCCACTTCCACAGGTTTGTTTGCATTCACACTGCATTCAAACGGCGTCAGAGTTCACTTCAACCGAACGGAGGCTTGTTTTAGTTCGTATCAGAGTCCGATTAGCTTTTACTCATCCCCAAATGAACCCCACCCTCCAGACCAGTGAACTGGTTTGATTAAAGCGAACTGAACAGGGCTGGTGTGAATGAATCCTCAGAGATGTGCTTTTCCCCCCAAACGGCAAACTGTAACAGGTTTGTTGTTCTGTTGAAGCTGCCGTCGCCCCCTGGTGACGAGGAGGACGACTTCATCCTGGTGCACCACAGCGACGTTCAGGTTTCAGAGAAAGCTGGCCCGGTTTACACACAACTGTGCAGCATCCTGAAGGAGCAGCATGAGGTGAAACTCTGAGAGTCAAACCCTAACTCTGGTTTCTTCAGTTTTGTTTCTCCAACCGCTGTGATTTCCATCTGTCCTTCCAGAAATGCTTGACGTACTCCAAGCAGTTCACTCACCTGGGGAACGTCTCTGAAACCACAAAGTGAGCCTCCTCTGTTGGTTCCTGAAGGTTACCACTGCACTGATTTGTTTTTGGAGCTCAGGATTGTGGTTAAATGCTCTGATTTCCTGGAGGATTACACCGATGTGACGTGTCTGTGTGTTTGAGGTTTGAGAAACTGGCAGAAAGCTGCAAGAAGAGCCTGGACGTCCTGAAGCTGGCTCAGTCCAGAGGCCTTCCTCCCCCCCAGCATCACTTCGAGGAGAAATCCTTCCGCACTGTGAGGTGGGAACGCTGCTCTTCTATCCTGACCAGGTGTCGGTCCTCATGTGTTCACAGCTTTTCTCTTTTTCTAGAATATTTCCAGAGCTGAGCAGCACAGACATGGTGGTCCTCATCGTGAAAGGCATGAACCTTCCTGCTCCCAGTGGTAAAAACATTCAGACGCACCAAACAAGGACAGAACTGGATAAACCAAAACGTTTAGCTCAACGTTTCCTGAAAAGTCGGATTCAATACGAGTTTTTTTATGTTTACATTTATTACTAAATATGACTTTAGGAAAACTATAATATTCTTTATGGTTGTTTTATCTTCCACAGGAGTTCAACCAAATGATCTGGATGCTTATATCAAGTTTGATTTTCCGTACCCCAGCGCAGTAAGTTCGTTTAAATTAATATTGGATTATTTAGAACATGTGACCAGGAAGAGGATCAGGGACACTAAAAAAACAAAACTTACTTTTTCTGTCAGAATGTTGACTTTTTTTTTCAGAATTTTGACTTTTTCTCCAAATTTTGCCGTTTTCTGTCAGAATTTATAAATTTTTCTCAGAATTTTGACTGTTTTTTCTCAGAATTCTTTTTCTCTTTTTTGACTTTAATCCTCTGAGATTAAAGTCAAAAAAGAGAAAAACAGGGAATTGTTTTTCAGTGGCCCTAATTGTCCTCTGTTCATGACATTTATGATAAAATCTGTTTCCTGCTTCATTAAAATCTGTTTTCTTCTTTATTAAAATCTGTTTTCTTCTTCATTAAATCTGTTTTCTTCTTCATTAAATCTGTTTTTTTTAATTAAAATCTGTTTTCTTCTTTATTAAAATCTGTTTTCTGCTTCATTAAATCTGTTTTTTCTTCATTTAATCTGTTTTTTTCTTCATTAAATCATTTTCTGCCTCCTCCTGCAGGAGCAGCCGCAGAAACACAAAACAAACGTCATCAAAAACACTAACTCACCAGGTAAATCATGAATCTGATGTCGAGACGTTTTCACTGCTGTTTATGAATATTTTGGAACGTTGTCAAGTGAAATCTCTAGATATAAATTTAATTTCTCCAAACGGACAAACTGTACCTTAAAACAAGAATTAAAATAAATTATTCCAGCACTCAACTTTTTCTGAACCCATTGCTAGACGTGTTGTCGTTTTCCTGTTGCTTCCTGATTGTGGCTTTTGTTCCCCAGATTTTGCTGCTCATGTCATGTTTTTTCTTCCCAGAATTCAACCAGAGCTTCACTCTGTCGATCAACCGGAACCACCGCGGCTTCAGGAGACTCGTGGCGTCGAAAGGCCTCAAACTGGAGCTGCTGCACAAAGGGTGAGGCTCCGACTCATCTAAAAATTATTCACATTTACCAAACGACAGAGAGACGTTCCTTTCTTCGGCCTCAGGGGTTTCCTGCGGAGCGACAAGCCCGTCGGGTCGGCGCTCATAAAGCTGGACAAACTGGAGTCACAGAGTGAAATCAGGGAAATTGTAGAGGTAAGAAAACGGAGAAACTCTGCAGAAATGTTCAGCCTGATCCTTTTTTGGTAAATTATGGGTTTGTAAAAGAGTATTTTATTTTGGTTTGTTTTTTGTAATGTTGTCAATTTACCAAACTAAAGTTAATCTGAAAAACAAATAATTAGCTGGCCTTTTCTCTGCTGTCGCACAGTTTCTGATTTAACTGTAACTTATAGGAAGTCAGGATTTACATTTTTAAATACTTTAATGTAAATTAAAATGTTTCACCAAATCTGAACTCTACACACTAAAAAAAGAGAACGTAACTCCAACTTAAAAAAATGCATGTTAATTCATCACGTGTAATCAAATTAAGTTTGTATAAACATAATAAATTTAGTTGAATAAACTTAATTCGGTTACCTGGGAATAGTTAACTCAATATGTAGGTCAAAGAGCTAAACTAATAATAAATAACAATAAATAATTGCCGCTTCTCTTTTTTTTTTTTTGTCCTGGCAGGTGATGGACGGCCGTAAACACACAGGAGGTCGAGTCGAGGTCAAAGTTCGCCTGCGGGAGCCTCTGAGTGGCCAGGATGTCCAGACGAGCACCGAGCGCTGGCTGGTCATCGACTCCTCAAAGGTAAACAAAATGTCTTTTAGTTGTTTCTTTTTTTAAATGTAATCTTTCACGTGTTTATTGAAATATTTTCTAATTTTCTCAATTTTTTAGGGTCTTTAGATTTTTATCCAATTCGAAGGAGTTTCACTTGAAGGTATGTTTTTTTCCATATGTTTTTTAGTAAATAATTTTTATATATCATGTGGTTAAAAAACCTCATAAAACTACTTATTTATTTACGAATTGAGTTCCACTTTCTCGATCTTACACTCACCAATCAGTGGCAGGAATATCAGTTTTATTTGTTTTTATGGTGGGCACTATTAACTAGGCGAAAATACTTTGTAAGATTTTGTTTTTACAGTGTAGAGAGGATAGCAAAATATAAGATTTTTTCTGAATTTCTTTAATATTTGTCTTAAAAAATATAGAATTTTCTTAAAAAGTCTTAAATTGTCCTAAAAGTCCTTAGTGTCTTGAATTGTCTTAAAAAGTATCGGATTGTCCAAAAAGTCTTAAATTGTCCTAAAAGTCTTAAATTGTCTTGAATTGTCTGATAAAGTTTTTCATTGTCTTAAAAAGTCTTGATTTTTTTTTTACTGCATTTATTCCGAGGTGAATAAATAAATTCGAATTGTCTTAAAAAGTCTTGATTGTTGCTGGTGAAACCTGCAGCTGTTAATCCTCAGTAATCCAGAGACTTGTTTCAGAATATTTGACCGATAATCTCTTCGCCCTGCAGGTGAAAACGGCCTCAATCAGAAACTTTTGGGACGACAAAGATGAGGTTCGGGGTCTCTGCTGAGGACGGTCACTGGTTCACACGGGACTGCGACCTTCACTGACCTTGGACGTCTTTAAACTTTTGCACATTAGCGCCACGCGGCAGCGTCTTTCTGCACAGGAGACGTTTGGTGTCGTAGAGGCATGAAGCGATGCGACGGCTCAGACTCGGGCGCCGGTTGTCACGACTCAGTCCTGCTGATGCCGAGGAGCTGCTCTCATCCTGCCGGCTAACTGAAATTCATTTCATATCCTGCAGCCAATAATGTGTACATATTCCTCATGTTCATACGAGTCTGGGATCGAGAACTTCACTATGCACTAATACCAAAGTAATCAGAGTTGCTGTAAAATCCTGCACATTTGAAATCACCTTTAGTTGCCAAATCTGCCGCAGACGTTTGTACTGACATTTATGCAACATGGCCGACGTGTTCATTAAGCCAAGAAGTTACGAAGCAACTCGAGGTGCGACTTTATTTTAGAGACGACTCGCTCTCAGCGCTTCCTGCTCAGACTGGACGAATTACATGTGTTTTGTTTACAGAGAGGAGCACAAAACCACAGGAAACCTTAGAATATAAAGATAAAGTAAGGGGTCAGAGGTCACTGAGTAACTTATCTAAGTAGCTGTCTTTATTTAATGTAGCTAAATGATTGGTTTCCTGCTTTACATCACAGTTTAAAGGGAGAAACGATTACCTTTGTGGCTGGAAACTGTTTATTTTCAGCAGAAAGACTGAAAACTGTTGGATAATGTAAATTAAGCAACAAAAAAATAATAATTTAGAATTATTTTAAAGCCATTGTTGACGTTTCAGCTCTTTCTGGTTGTTTTTTTAAAGGGCCAGTTACTGTAAAACTTAAAGTACGTCATCTGAAAAGTTAAAAGTTGAAAAAAATCTTTGTCACCAAGCCTCACATGTAAAACTTTTAATGTCTTAAAAAATAATAAAATTGTCTTTTTTGCAGAAGCATAAACTTTCACTGAACATTTTAGAGAAATCTAAATTATTCAGCAGATAAAATTATTTTAACACATTAATATTAAAATCCAAAAACTATTTGTCCCCAAAGCAACTTCTTTAAAAATAAATACGTTTCTAGGAACTTCTAATCTGTGAATCTGGTTCGCTGGGGAACTAATAAGATGCGACACGGCTGCCCATCTCTCCACAGTGAGCAGGATGAGACTGCAGCCAAAAAATAAATAAATCTCCAAAGGTCATAGTTCAAATAAAAATGTTTTGACATACAGCTGTTGGTACATTGGTGTCCAATGTGAGGTTGGTGGGCCATCTGTGGCCCTCAGAATGATTTTACAGCTGGACGCTTCTCTAATTTTTTATAAATTAAAAATGTCTCACCTCACAATAAATATAAAAGGAAAATAATACATTTTTCACAAATTCTCAGTGAGTTTATGCTGCTGCAGTAAAATAACTTTTGAAAAATAAATATTAGTTCTGATCACAGGAGTTTGTATCGACAAACTAAATCAGTTGATTACAGATTTTTGTTTTCTGAAAAGCCTGAGCGCGGAGAAGCTGTTAAATTTGCGTACTGGCCCTTTAAATCTCCCAGCTGAATGAAGCCATAAAACCTGCTGAGCCAAGTGAGTTTGGTCGCTACATTTCAGTTTTTGTTTTTATTCTGTGCAGAAAAGAAAACTTTAATATATATTTTGTCGCCATTTTGTTTTCTGTTGTTTAATCGACTGCAGGTTCATAAAATAATCTGTCAATATTTCTGTGAAGCTGCACCGCAATGTGTGTCTGACAGCATCTAAAACTGTATTAGAAACTAATATCCTGATCATGGTAACATCAAAACCAATAATTTTACTGTTAATTTAATTCTGCTGCATAAACGTTTTCCTGCAAACAAAAAAAATGGACATCATTTCATTTTTCTATAAGGTTTATTTTACATATGCTTTTTTTTTTCTTTTTTTTTCAAATAACCACTTCATGACATTTGTAAAAGAAAAATAAAGTACAAGAGTTTTGGCTTTTCCAAACTAATAATTTAAAAAAACAACAAAGACCAGTAAACAACGCAACGAGTGCATTTTTCAGGATTTATTTACTGTCAAAATGCAAAAAAAAAAAAGTTGATTTTTGTCTCCGTTTTGCATGCAGTGTTCTTAGAGTTTTGGAGAGAAACATTTTTTATTTTTACAACAAACAAAATGCTACTTTTCTGGTCAAATTGCACCTTTAGCGTTCGGATTTCGGACATATTGCACATATCTGAAGACGTCACTGTAAACGAAGACTCGGGGAAATAATCGGTTTGCTTTGGGGCAGCATGAAACCGAGTGACGATCACAGGAAGTGGCGACTGTTTCACCTTTTTATCACGATTACAGAACCTCCTAAAACACCTGGAGGTAAGAAATGATCCGCTGCCAATTGGAAATGTCGGCTCTTCTGCAGATTTTCAACAGATTGTCTAACGTTTTGATTCAACAGATGAGAAGAATCTCGTGATAAGATGGAGAATGTCACACAGAATGATTACTGTACAGACTTTTTTGTTTTATTTTTCTCTGTTGGTGGGGAAACGGAAACGGGAAGAATACATTCGTAGATTTCATCCGCAGGTCCGAGCCGCCGCTGGACGGACCCAATCTCTTGGTAGCTGCACTGCGAACGGCTGAAGCGTCTCCGGAGCTGCAGAGTTTCGGGGTTTTTTTTGGGAGGAAGCAGAACGCGGAGCGGAGATACATTCAGCCTCGGATCAGTCAGTGAATTTCTGAAATTACCTTTTCCTCCCAGAACGCGGCGCTCAACTTAAATGGCTTAGACTCCAGTGCACTGCTTCTGCAATTAGTTTTTATATCTCTTTATATATATATACTGTATATATTTATATATTTTTACATTTTTAACAGTTGTTCGCATGATTTGAAAAGACTAAATGAGATGCAGCTGAAGAAATGGAAAGTACGGCAGGACTTCTAGACGTTTCGTAAGAGGACACAGACGATAGCGTAGGGAAGAAACGGCTCCTCTTTAAAAAAATATATACAAGTCTATGCAGAATTTGGTGACGATGAGTAAAGCTTAAAGTTAAGCCGACGAATCTTCTTCCCTTGATGACGCTCTGCTGCAGGCACTGAGCACCATGGTGCAAAAAAAAAAACAAACCAAACGTTTCTCCTCACGAACGCACCGTCCTCCACCTCCAACGATTCCTTCAGCAGCATCCGTGCTACACAGAGGCAGGTTTTTACCCAGAATGCATCGCTTCATCTGGCTGACACAGTGACATCGGAGCAAACGTCCGATAAGAAGCAGAGGAGCCGTCAGGTCTGTCCGGAAAGCCACACTGAGAACCTCAAACTAATGCTGCGTGATGTCATCACACATCTGTTACTAAGTTTATTTATTTATTTTTTTGGCTTCCAGAGTTTGGTGATATTTTTTATGACATCAAAAAGCAGAATTTTTGATGCCAATTTAGAAATATTTGCTCTTATGCTAAATATTACTTTACTACTGGAACTGGACATGAAGTAAAGGACAATACTGACACCTACTGGTGAGAGTTGGTCACTTCAACCCTTTTTTGTAATTGTTTTGCTGAAAATGTGCAATAAACTCAATTATGCATTAGCACAGATTGATGTAATTTAGCAGGATAAACGATAAAAACTGCATTGATAAAACAATATTTAAGCACATAATTACTTTTTCTTGTCTAGCGAGTTTGGGGAGCCACATAGTAACTTATGGCGGCCAGATTTGATGATTTCTAAATCATCAAATTTCTATAAAAATTGACAATTTTTTTTTTTTGGGGGGGAAAAATGAAATTATGCTCAACTTTGTGTTTGTCCATCACATAAAATCCTAATAAAACATAAATTAGTTTGTACTGTGGTAAAGCTGGACACTTTGGCAACACACCGAGTATTTTTATATAAATTACTACAAAATAAATGTAGATTTCACAAGATTAAATAAAATTTGGCATCTGATTTTAATTGTTTTTTAAACTGGGTTTTTTATTTGGATTAGTAAAGTTAATAATTTGGAGCATAACGACGTTAACGAGCGTTTAATTGACCTCAGTTCATCTTTGTATTTTAATAAAACTGATGGATCAGTTTATTAAACCGGAGTGACGTTCGCCCCCCGTCTCCAGATCCAACAGAATCAATGTGTTTGTGCCGCTTTCCTTTTAAAGATAGTAAAAAAAAAAAAAAAAAAAGTTCCAGGGGTCATCAGCAATATCTGCAAATCCAGAGCAGCACAAACGAGCTTCTGCTGCACAAACGTAGCCGAGTTGGTGAATGTGAGCGAGAGGCTGGTTGACCTCTGATGACCTCTGCAAACTTGCGGCACAAATTAAAATTTTTACAGCAAAAAACATCCGACGCTGATTTTGTTTGAACTTTCATTAATATCTCCAAAGCAAAAGCAGCACAAACGAAACTTTTTGCAGCAGAAAAGAAGTCGAGCTGATTGATTTTTGTCAGATTGGAAGAAGATGGGAGGCTGGTTGACCTTTGTCGACCTCTGGAAACACCTTTAAAATGATAGCGGCACAAATGAACATCTTTGCAGCACAAACGTTTGACACCAATGACGTGTCTGGGTAATGTGACTTCCACTAATATCTTCAAAGCGAAAGCAGCACAAATTAATTTTTGCTGCACAAAAGTTTGACGCCAACTTGTCTGGATTCGAAGGAGGCGGCGAACGTCACTCAGAGTTTAACCCTTCGGAGGCCGCAGCGTGGCGGTCGGGACAGACTCTCTGCTCGGAGCTTCACCTCTGGATGGAAGCAGACGGCGGAGGATGCATAGGTTGGACTGGAGGAATGCTACCCGGACCGGGCCGGGCCGGACCGGCACAGTTTTCTGGTTCTTTTTGAGGCGCGAATGGTTGGAGGGGGATAGGAGGAGGACCAGGCTGTGAGATGGTGCTAAAAAAGAAAGAAGAAGAAGAAGTAGTGTTTGTGTCTCCTAGGAGATGATCTCCAGGATGTAGAAGACGAGCTCCATGACAACGGGGCCTTCGCTCAGCTGACACGCCCCGCCGTGGATGACGGGGATCAGGGCGCTGTCCAGGTCGCTCAGGTACTGAGGGAGGAGGGGCTGGCCGTTACTTCCTGCCAGGTAACCCACCTGGAGGGAGGGAGGGGGGACAGAAACGTCAGAACTACAGGATAATACAACAAAAACATTTTACTAAAAGGTCAAATTTTCACTTTGATCAACGATGTTATTATAGCAATAAAATGGTGAAAGATTGATGGAAAAACATTTAGTAAAAAATGTAAAAATTTATCCTTTAAATTAACTTAAAGCTCAACAGTTTCTGGAAAACCAGCCGTTTCTAAAGCGGCTGAAGCTTCACTGCAACTTCACTGGTCCAGTTTTTACTGTAAATATCTTACTACACTTTAAATAAGGCAAAAACTGCAAGCAATTGTTCAGCAAGCAACAGCAGCTTATTTTAAGTAAATAATTGTTTAACACTGGTGGAAAAAGTACTGGATCCACAAGGAGATTATTTTAATTATAACAAGGGAAAATGTCCTGCTATAAGTGAAATAATCTGCCACTTTTTCATCAATATTAAGGATTTATTTATTTAATAAAAGTTGAATTTTCCTTCAGGTTTTCGAACTTTTAATTAGATTGAGACTTTTTGGGTTTAGAGGAGCAACTTTTCTGCTCCTACTTTTTCTACCACTTCTGTTTTCTCTAACATATATGAGATCATATGTAAATAAATATAAATAGATTATAAAAAGGCTCTGCAGCACCGGACGCCAGAGGTGCAAAGACCCTTAAAATCAGTTAAACTTTTAGAGCAACAGCATAAAAATCACTAAAATACGTAGAAAATTAAAGTTTTAATCTAATTTTATTCAGTGAGGAAAAAGAAATATTTATAGGAAATAAATGTTTTTAACTAAATCCCTGTTTCAATAGTTAAATTTATGTTTATGTTCAGTATATAAACCAGTTTTTACAGCTTTGAGTTTCTTTTCCACGCTGGTGAAAAACATCTGATGCCAACTCCCGCCTGTAGATGGCAGTGTTTCTTTTGCTTCAGCCTCACATGATGTTCTAATCCACGATGGAAAACCGAGCTGTTCAGGTTGTTAAAGAATAAAAATGTTTGGGTTCCCGATCTGAATGTCCGTTATTTGTTCTCTCATATATCTGTATTTTTTGGAAAAAGTTTAATAAGAGAAAAATCTTAAAAAAAAAAAAAAAAAAAAATTCTAATATTTTTAAAGTAGTTTCACAAAATCAGTGATTCGTAAAAGAATTAAATTTAAAATTAAAAAAACAATTGAAAAATCCTTGAGGGAGTGAATGTATTTGGCTGCTTTGGTTCAGAAGAGATTACTTAAAGCATGGGTGCTCAAAGTGAGGTCCAGGGGCCATCTCCGGCCCCTGGAATAATTTTTTGCGGCCACCTGACCTCAATTCAAGAATAAATTAAATAAATTAGGACAAAACTATGATTTTTAAATCCAAATCTATGCACAAAAACGGCAGATTCAAAACGAAGTGATCATCTTTTCCAAGTTTATTTTGGTTTCCATCTGTTGTCATGGTAACCAGGACCACATCTACTCACCTGTAATCTAAAGTCCAGTTCAGTGCAGCGAAATCTGATTTTAATTTCCATATTAAAACTCGACTAAAAGCACCGAATGTTTTCAAATGACCTAAATTCTGTTGTTTTTTTTTATTGGTGAGAACAGATGAAATGTTTTTCCTTGAATAATCAGAAAACTGGATGTTTTTCAGGAAAACTTGCAATAAAACATCAGAGGTTTTGAATCTGGAATCTCGTTCTTCCGTTTGTTTATCCGTTTAATTAAAAGAAGATGATAATTTATTGCTGAAAAAACATTTTCGGTGATTTTACATTTTAAAAATGTTAAAAGTTTTTTATTTTATTTTATTTATTTTGTGCTGCTTTAAACATTTTTTTTATTATTTGTGAGAAAAAGTTTGGATTTTAAAAATAGCAACATTTAAGAGCACAGCGTTCGGACCCGGATCCCAGCCTGGTATCTGGTATCCGGGTCCGAACGGCTCCCTGAGGATGACGGCTTCGTCCACCTGGTCGGAGTCGAGCGTGACCCGCAGGCCGAGCTTGGCCATGCCGTCCTCCTTCAGAAGCTTGAGGTGCGGACACAGCGCCATGCAGAACGCCCGCGCCACGTTCTCCGCCAGCCGGCTGTGGTCGGCCGGGTCGCTGAGCCCGCTGGGCTGGTCCTCGCTCTGCAGGAAGAACACCTGGGAAAACGCACACACCTTGAACGCACCGCAGAGATTAGCTTTCTCTTTGTTTTCAGGGTTTTTTTTTAAATCCTTGAATTTCACTGATGTGTTTGGAAAGTTTGATATTTTATAACATTTTAAAATGAAGAATCTGACATTTGATTAAAAGCCAAGTTTGCAGGTAGACATTAGTAATGAACAATAGTATAAGGACATAAACATATCAATACGTCTCCACCGTAACTAAAGAAAGAAAAAGTTTCAAAATTTGGAAAACATTTACAGTTGAAACCAGACATTTTCATAAATATCTAATATTCCTAATGGCTCAGTGACTTAAATAAAGGTTGGTTTATATTTTTGTTACGTTTTTTTGTGTTATTAGTGTTTTGTTATCGGACCAGTCGGGTATTTAGGATGCGAGAGAAAAAACACTTCAAAACATGAAATTTTAGCTTACACAGATTACTATCATAAAACACTATTAACAGTAAAACATTATATTCAATAGTGAACTGAAAGTGTATTTTATTAGTTCATTTGTATTGTTTTTATCTGCAAAGGTGTGAAGCTGGAAAAGTTTGATGACTTGAATTTTATTGTAGAAAAAGTTTTAAGACTTTATTTGTCTTTTAAATTTCCTTCATTTATAAAATGTGAATTTTCTGAGTTTAGACGAAGGAAAAAAACGTTTGTTCCTGGGAGATGAACTGGACAGAGTGTGTGTGTGTGTGTGTGTGTGTGTGTGTGTGTGTGTGTGTGTGTGTGTGTGTGTGTGTGTGTGTGTGTGTGTGTGTGTGTTACCTCGGTCCAGCGGATGACTTTGCCGTTGGCTTTGAACTCGGAGCCGTGGAAGATCTTCACGCTGGTGATGGACTCCATGGATTTCCCGTCGATCGGGCTGATGACGCTGAAAGAAACGTTTGTTTACAACGACGTCGGATTCCTGGGGAGACGTAATTTAACACAATTCATCTCCAGACTGCTGTGGGACAGGCAGCTGCTCCTGCTGAGCTTTATGAGCTCCGAACGGGTCGGGCCTTTTCCCGCAGAGCGCTGGAGCTTTAAATATTCTGCTCAAAAACACATTTATTAGGAAATAAATGTGTATCTTTCACAGGAGCAGAGAACCCAAAAAATTTACTCAAGTAAAAGTAAAAAGTCACAAGTCCAAGAAATTACTCAAGAGTAAAAACGTATTTGGTAAAAAGTCAAAAAAATGAGTAACTGATCAAATTATCAATCATTTAATTGTTAAAAAGTTTGTAATGAGACGGACGAAAATATAAAGTTAAGTGGAAATGTTTGGTGTTTTAAAAGACCAAATTGACAATAATTCATATCAGTAACAAAAAATAACAAAACCAGGCAAAATAAAATGTTTCCAAATCAGTTTCTTCTTTCAATAAAAAAACTGAAGAAACTTCAACAGAAACTGCAGGTGTGAGTCTGAATCTGGTGAATTTTTGGTTAAAACGTGTTTGATTTTCATTCAGTGGGCAGAAAATCCAGACATTTTACTCAAGTAAAAAAAGTACAGCGTAGTAAAAATACTCCTGCAAGTACATTTAAAAAAAAAAGTTACTGAAGTAAATCTACTATTTACAATCCAACTCAAGTATTTAAATCTGTTTTCTGCTTCAATTAGACGTCTGTAAAACGATCATTTTTATTATCTGAGTTCCTACAGCAGAAACTGTGAATCTGTCATTAAATTACCTGAATGTTAATTTTCTCTCACCCTTTGTTGAAGTTCTGGTCGTCTTCGGTCCACAGGATGTGGACCAGCTCTGGGTTCTCCTCCTGCTCCGCCTTCCCGCAGGTTATGGTGAAGTCCTTCATGTCCCTCAGGGCTTGCCGTAGAGAGTCCATGGTCTCTGCTGTGATCTGGATCATCACACCGTCTGAAGCAGAAATAAAATTAATGAGAAACACTTTATGATGCTGAAAGAAATGGTTTTAACAGCTCAAGATTTTACAGACTGTGTGGTTTATTTGTCCTCAGAGAGTCTATAAAACAGGAATTAAAAAGGTAATAGTAACTGTACTTGGTGCCGGATTCGTTTATAATATGAAATAAACCAGAAACAGCAAGATTTCATGGATTATCACCCAAAGTTTCACCACTTTTAAGCTTCAGGTTTGTAGAAATTGTGTAAGAAAGAAACACCTGACCAAAAGATTACAATACTTGCTTCAGTTTTTTTTAGTTAATCTCATGAGATCTCATCGTTTTGTCTTGTTCCTGTGGTGTAAATCCAGTTGATTACGTCGAACCTGGAGTCCCTCAGGGCTCCGTACTCGGTCCACTACTCTTCTGAACGCCTCTAAGTTTTAACGCATTTAAAGACGAGAACCTTTGAGACTTGCATGAGCTTTAATACTTTCTGTTTACTTCCCATTAAAGTTAAATAAAACTTTGTCAACTTATATTAGTTACCGTTTGATAATCTGGTCGAACACAAACCCTAAAACTCTGTATGCTATAAACATGTTAGGCAAGAAAACGATTCCAATTCCCTTCCAAGCTGAAGAAAAATCTGAGATTGTAAGAGATTCACAGCTTCGCTGAGTAAGACAAGCTGCCAAGAAAAACAAAGTTTAATCTCAATAAATCTGAATATAAGAGGAACGTTTTAGATTTTCCTTTAAGCCATCTGGTATCTTTATTCACATTTCTTCTCACCTTCTACTATGCTGGTCTTAGCCAAGAAGCCGGACGAGGCTTTCAACGCACCACTGAAAACAAAGAAGCAGGATCCAGTAACTGAAGAAACAGAGAAAAAAAGAGAGAAGAAACAAACAAACCAGGTCAGTTCAGATTCACGAGAAAACTACTGAGACGTTAAACTGGGAGCAGAAAGGAGAACATAAACGGGAAGAGATGAGGGACAAACGCTGCAAAAACAAAATATTTTTGGTCTAGTTTTGAATGAAAATATGTTTACACTAAAAATAAGACAAAACTAACTCAAACGCAACTTTTCAGCAAAATGTAGGAGCTTTTCTAAGTCAATAATTCCTCAACATTGATGAAAAAGTATTTGTTTCACTGGCAGATTATTTCTAGGCAACAGATTTTATGGACGATAAATTGGAAGTTATTGCGATAAATGATAATACTGTTGTTTTGAGACGAACTTCAAGGACTATAATGTATAAAAATAATAATGCAAAAACACATTCTTCGAAAGAGCAATACACTTTAAATTCAAATCAAAATTTAACACTGGAACTGGAAAACATTTTAAACAACAATGAAAAAAAGTAGTAAGAAGTCTCGGTAACACTTTATTTGAAGGGGGGTGAATAAGACTGTAATGACACCGTCATAAACCTGTCATAACACCTGTCATAAACATGAATAAGCCTTCATGAACGTTTATGACTGTTGTCATAAAGCGTCATTCGGTAAATTATGATACTTTTAATACAAAGTTGACATTATTCTAAATGTCTTTGTTATGACAACTTGACATTAACCAGGAAATCATTACTGATATAAATTTGTTATAAAAGTTTTACTGATTGCACTTTAAAAATTAGGTAACTTTATGTTATTAAAGGTAAAGTTTAAACAGTAATGATTTCCTGGTTAATGTCAAGTTGTCATAACAAAGACATTTTGAATAATGTCAACTTTGTATTAAAAGTGTCATAATTTACCGAATGATGCTTTATGACAACAGTCATAAATATTCATGAAGGCTTATTCATGTGCATGACAGGTGTTTATGACAGTGTCATGACAGTCTTATTCACCCCTCTTCAAATAAAGTGTTACCGAAGTCTCTGTAAACAAAAACAACTGGTTGAGACCAAAACACCAGATTAAAGACTTTTACCATCCAGTTTTGGTAGAAACAGAGAAAGAAGAAAGAAAAACGACAAATCATGCAATCAACCACATGATTGATTGACTGATTGCTTATTGCAACAGGGCTAATTATTTTACTAAAACAAGACATTTTCACTGTTATAAGTGGAATAATTTTCTTAAAACCACCTCCTATATTTATAAGTTAGTTTAGCACTAAGATGTTTACAGTAGAATCTCGACAAACTTCTCGCTTAGACTTCGTGCACCTTTGCGCGGCTGGTGATGGATGCTGATGGCCTGCGTCTGGTAGTTCCCGTCGTCGTTCTGGACGCAGACCAGATGGGAGTCGGCCCGCTCGTTGAAACACGCCCCCATGGCCAGAACGTGCTCGTTTGACTTATTCATGGCCTTCATCAGCTGCAGGGACACACAACGCACAGCGTGACCAACGGCGTCAAAGTGACTTTCTGGTTGAGCCTAATCGCTTCCGGTGCAGATCTCGGGTTGAACATCGATGGCAGACTGCAGAAGAACTCGGAGGCAGAGCTCGATTTCAGTTCCTCGTATTAATCCTGCGTCTGTTTGCCAATCAGAAATAAAACTGAAAATCTGCAGGGCTTTAACCGCTCGCTGCGTTAAACGCTGCAGAGCGGCGGTTCGCTCTTCGCTCTGCTGACTTCCCATCTGTCAGCGCGGCGGCAGCCAAACTCCAACGCTGACGCTCATTCGCGCCCTGCAGGCGACACTTTATCACACGTGGGCAGCTTAGAGGCCCGATGCTCAGCTGCAGGGGAAACCGCGCAGGTTTGCATGCATCACCTAAACACAGAACTGTGTGTGGACAAAACAAAAGACAAAAATCTGCTGGCAGAAAATATTGAGTTTAGTCTTCGGTGTGAAATCACAGGTAGGACTGAAACGATTAATCGGATTACTCGTGATTAATCGCTAGCTGAAGTATGCAAACTATAAAACAGGGGTGTCCAAAGCATGGCCCGGGGGCCTCTTGCGGCCCTTGAAATTATTTTTCATCGGCCCCCAGACAAATCAAGAACAGTAAAAATTTGACCAACAAAATAAAAAGTACTTTATGTTTTTATTCTAACAAGGGGACAGACTAAAGTATCTTGTCTTTTTTATGTGTTGAATCTTTAAGGATTAATAGATTTTATTTACATTTGGTTTATTATTGAGCAGGGACAAAAAGTTTGGGCACTACTACATATATATATATATATATATATATATATATATGAGGTTCAACTCAACCTCATATGTACACTATTTATCTAGTATTTATCTAGTTTTGTTTATGACTTGCAATGATTTTAGTCATTAGTTTTTAGAAAACCAAATTTTCCCTTTAAAGGAGACGTTACATTGAATAAAATTTGGAAACTGTAACATTTTTCCCCACCCCATCTTTAAACATTTGAGCCGTTCTTGGGAGTCACAGCGAGTGTGTGTGGTATGAAAACACACAACTCTCAAAGCACACACCGTCCTTGAGACGCTCCTTATCTGTGGAGCAGGAAACCGCCGGCTCATTCGGTAACCATAGCAACGTGTCCGATCGTGATCGGGGACCTTCTGTGCCTGAGCCCTGCTTCATGCTGCAACATCTTATTAAAAATGAATGACAGAGTCTAGTCAGCTAGGAAAACTGTGTCAAGATACACGGCTTGTTTTGTTTTTCTGCTTCGGCCTGAATTATAAATTTAAACGATGTGACCGACCAGCTGAGTAGAAAAACAAACAAACAAAACAACAACAACGGTATCGTCATTTTTAGCATCAATTTATGGATTTATCAAGAGGATGTTAAATATTTTTGATCGGCGATATCTGTTGTAGCGTGGAGGTTTGCTAAATTTATTAGAGTAAGAACAAATGGTCAGTGTGACGTTGCCAAGTTTAAATTTAGAAATAGTCCCCAAAAGTACAGAAAGTTTCAGACTGAACAAGTTATCAGAAAAAGAAAACTGGAGTTTTCAAAAGATAACTTGACTTATTAGAAGCAAGTTAACCAGGCCTTATGTGAAAAAGAAGCTGCAATCTTCACCGACTCAAAATTAAGGCTTTTTAAGACTTTTAAAAAAGACCATTATGAATTAAATTTAAGACCTGTATCATGGCAGAAATATTAAGCATTTTTTAACAAATTGCGCCTAGCATCATGTGGGTTCCAGGTGGTGGCAAAGACAAACATTGTCCAGCCAACTAGCAATAAATTTGCACTTTACCCACGATAAACTCCAAAAAAGCTAGCTAGCTAAATAGCTAGGATACATCAATGGCCTCAAGTTGCAGAAAGCAACACAGATTTCTGCATGCGACAGTTTGCCTGAAAGAAAAGTCCTGTGAGAAAAATAAATGACACATACACGATTAAAAAGCCCTGCCATGACAAAATTTAAGAATTATTATTAAAGACCATCTTACACTTCTTAAATTAATTTAAGACAGTTTAAGGCCTTAATTTTAGATGCATTTATTTCTTACTTTTTGTACGGATGCAGGCACCCTAGATGACTTTTTTAAATGATATATGATCAACTCAATTGGACTGAAGTCCAAGCTTTGACTAGGCTTCTCCAACGGATTTTGTTTTTAGCCATACAGACGTGGATCGGAGCTTCAGAACATTGTTTTGCTACAAAGCCCAAGTTCTCCTGGTTGATTCATGTTTCCATAAATTATGGATATGATATGATCTGAGTCCTGAAAAGGTGAATCAGCAGCAGACCATTATTCTACCACCACCGAGCGTCTCCGATACGCTGCACATCCAACAGGATGTTCCAGTTTGATCCAACTGGAAAATGTTCCTGAAGGGAAACGTTTAGAGACTCACCTCATTGTATCGATTGCTGGGGATCTTGATGCTCGTCTTCCTCACCTCCATGTCCACAACCAGACCTTTCACCACCGGCAGAGTGTACTGGTAGTTACGGAAATCCTGTAAAAAAGACGACCACATTATTTAATTTTATTAACATACACTGGTATACTGGTATTAACCAGAGGAAAAAAAGTGTGAAAGCCACTTACTGCTAGCAGATTCATGATGGTGTGCCCGGTCTCTCCAAATAGAGGTTTCCTGAAGCGAACGCTGAACAGTGGACACGGATAAACTGCAAGAGCAAATTAATAAAGTTAAAACTCCAATGCACTCCATCACAGCCGATTTAGCAGTTACGTAATTATTGTATCACTTTCCAGAGCAAAAAGCAGCATGCTAGTTAAGAAAACTATTTCTTATTGTGACATATGATGGGGTTTCTGCTGGTGTCACCAACTAAAATTTAAGACCATTAAGAATATAAGACCTGTATCAGGACACAATAGTAGAAACTTCATCCAGGCAATTGGCGAGAAATTTGCATTTACAGATAAATGCAAAAAAGCTAGCTAGCTAGCAAAGGTATATTAGCAGTGAGTTAGCAGTAGCCTGAACCACCTTGACTGACAGAATGTAATGAAGCGCGCAACACTGACTTTTGTGACCAAAAAAAGAATAAAATACATTAAATATTCAAGATTAATGAACCTAAAGACGTGACCAAAAAATATAAGACAAACTTACTTTCTAAATGAACTTAAGACTTTAAGACCTGCATTACAACATAAATGTACGACCTTCGTCCAGCCAACTCTCAGTAAATTTGCACTTACACAGAATAAACATAAAAAAGCTAGCTAGCAGGTAAAAGTGTGTTAGCAGTGAGTTAGCGGTAGCCTCAACTGTCTCAACGTGGAAAGCAACGAAGATGTCTGCGGACGACTCAAACTTTTGTCTGACCGAAAAGTCTCGTGAGAAAAACAAACAAAAAAATATTGTATATACAAGATTAATAAGACAAAAATTAAGACCTGTGATTCATATAGTAAGAACAAACTTTTAAAAATGAATTTCAGACTTTTTAAGACCATTATGAATGGACTTTAAGACTTATATCACAGGACAAATTTACAAACTTCAAATCCACCCAATTGACAATAAATCTGCTCTTACACAAAACAGATGCAATAAAAGCTTACCAGCTAGCAAGGGTATATTAGCAGTAAGTTAGCATAAGTCTCAGAAAAAAACAAAACATTGAATATACAAGACTAACAAGATACAAATGAAGACTTGTGATTAACATATTAAAGGCAAACTTACTTTAAAAAAAATAAATTAATTTAAGACTTTTTTAAGGCCTTAATTTTTGACATAAATTTCTGACTATTTTTGAGTGAGGCTGACCTAATTAGAAATCTCAGGAAGAAGGCTCCTAACTTTCAAAAGAAGAATACTGCTTCTTATTAAGCTTCTTAAACTACTATTTTCAACTTCATCTCATCATCCAGCAGCTGGAAAAAGATCACTAAACATTAACGCTGTTTTGGGCTCGGTATGCAGAATCCTAGAGCCAACCCGCCTTGTGTGGGTCAGGCCTCAAAGAGGCGAGCATGTTGACAACAGCGGCGTTTGTGCTGCGGATTAATTTCTTGGTGATTCCAGCAGTTTGTGTTGAAAACGTGTCTTTGTTAATGTATTCCAGCCGAAGTTGCAGGATGCAGGCTAATGGCTTAAGAGAGCGCGGCGGAGCTGAGCTGGCAGGTCCGACTGCGAGAAAAGAGGATTCTGAGGAGAAGAAGAGCCACTCTGACAAATCTGCACACCAGCTTTCCAGATTCATGAGACACTGCAGAAAAATGGAGGCAGCATAACAGCTGGCTGCTTTAAAATGACACAAAGCGTCAAGAGAGGCTCTGGTTTCTGCAATCGTTTAACAAGTTCACTGCAAAAACACAAAATCTTATCTTTCATAGTCCAAATATCTTAGTGCACTTGAAATAAGAAAATTAAGTTGCAGGTAACTTTTCAGGAAGATATTGGAGTTAAGTAAATAAATCCTTAATATTGATGAAAAAGTAGCAGCTCCATTGGCAGAACAGAGTTGCTTTTGAACCGTAATAATTGAAACACGAACCAACATTTTGATGTGCAATGACTGCACTTGGCAAACAGTGATGTTTTAATTGTTGATTGTAGTGTTTTTATGATGTAAAGCACATTGAACTGCCTTGTTGCTGAAATGTTTTCTACATATAAACTTGACTGATTGACCCAAACTCACATCGGTACTCTGCTCCCAGCCGCAGCATGAGGCGGATCGGGAAGACCTTGGCCCACGGCGTCTCCCACTTCTGGATGAGGATGCCAAAGAGGTAGGGCGGGTTGGGCAGCAGCAGGTCCTGCAGCGACTGGAAGGACGGGCTGATGTAGAGGAAGCCGCCGTGCTCCTTGCTGCCCAGGAAGCTCTGGGTGAAGAACGAGTGACTCAGGTGGCTCAGCACGTTGCCTGGTGGCCGGAGGGAGGAAGAGCCGTCAGTCAGCAGGCAGCACAGCGAGCGGCTGAAGCTCTCTGAAGCCAGCACTTCCTCCAAACGCCTGACTGGCAGCGGCTTAATGAGGATCAACGCACACAATACGACTGCCTTCCAGCAGCTGACACGGCTCTGATGCAAATACTCAACAGGAAGCCGCCTGAGGAAAGTGAGCCGTCACAGTCGGCTCATATTAGCAGTTTTTGCTGTGCAGCGTAAGGATGTAAAAAAACAAGACACAAAGAGACGACCGCCAGACGACAACGCTGGAGGTGAGCAGGCAGCTGGCGGGAACGTACCCTCTGGGAAGCAATCGGATTCATTGTGATGAATCGATTGTTGAAATAATCAATTAATTTAATAATCAATTTTTACCGACCCAAATAAACGATACTTTCTGAAACAGCAACATATTCAGAGCAGTAATTAAGCTGAAACTATTAAAGTATATTATGCATTTAAGATGAAAAAAGAAGAAAAACTTCTACGTGTCTGTAAATATGCAAGTATGTTCACCTGGTTAAAATTATGTAAAAAATAAATAAACAAATAAAAAATATTAAACACCTTTTGCTATGCAATTATTGATCGGTTAACCGAAAAAATAATCAATGGATCCGCCATATTGATGTTGCATCAAACAAAGAGCTCAGCTTTTCACATGTTGATGTTAAAAGTATTTTTTAAGCTGCGGATGAATCCTTTGCTATAAATCAATAACCAATAAATCAATTAATCAGACGATAATAAAAATGAACTCAATCATTTCCATTTGCATGATTTGTCATTTTTCTCTATTCCGTCTTTCCAACAAAAACCAGATGATAAAACTCTTCAGTCTGTGGCTTTGGTCTCAACTTGCCCTTTTTTTCAGGGATAATTTTGTTTTTGTAGAAACTTTATAATTCATTTTATTTGTTGTTTCATTTATTTTGGATATTTAAAATCTCTTCCAGTTTCAAATGTTCATTACAATTTAAAGTTTATCGATCTTCGACAGTGTGTTCCATTTGTGCCATTTCCATTATATTACTTGAAAATGGTCTCAAAACAATGATATTATTGTGCATCACAATAATTTCTGGAACGATTTATCGTCCAGTTAAATTTGTTATCATTACAGACCAGGCGTTCTCTAAAGGAATGATGTGTTGTTGCATTTTAGGCTATGACATGATTATTTCCTTATCTAAAAAGTTAACTGAACTGTCTATTTGCATCTTTTAATGCCTTTCTAAAATCTTATGTAAATGAAAACTCTCCAGAATGTGACAATTTATTTAATTCGATTAATCGTTACAATAATCGATTCCTAAAACAAGGCGAGCCCTACTCTTTGTAGCTCTGGAGGAGCCGCAGCGAATTTCTCACCGCTTAGGGCTTCTTGGTAGAGCTGCACAAAGTGTGTGAAGATGTCTTTGGGGATGGTTTTCTCGTCGGGCAGACACTGCAGCAGAATGACGACCTCGGCCTGGCCGACGGCGTGCATGCCTTTAGTCGTCACGTACCAGCACTTCCTGTTAACATCTGACAGTTGAAGAGAAAAAACCTGGTCAGGACACTGAACTTAATACCAGGATCAGTGGAGTTTCTGCAGGTTCCACCAAGACTTTTTAAAACCTTTATGAATGGAATTTAAGACCAATATCCACAGATATAGACGCCAAAAAGCCAGCTAGCTAGCTGCTAACATAGCAACAGTAGCCTCAAGCATCTAGAGCAGGGGAATCGAACTCATTTTGAGCCACATCAAAAATCTGAATGTTCTTAAATGGCTGGTTGTGCCAGTATATGTTGATAAAACCAATTAACTTGTTAAAATATCGATAAATAGCTGTTCTTCCAGCATTCCGCGACTGTTTTTGTTGTTTCTTACAATCAGAATTCCAGATTTTGTTGTGGCAATTTAGAAATGTCTCCAAGACATTTTTACAGTATTTGTGCTAATGTGTGATGTTAAATGTGACTTTTTATTACTCGTATCAACTGCAGACTAACTTGACATCAAGAAAGGCTGAGGCAGCGGTCACTTAAACTCAATGTTTTTTAGCCAATTTAGAGAAAATTTGCAGTAAAATCAGAAGAAAATGTGGAGATTTGCTGATTTTCTGTGAATTTTGCAGAAGTGTGAAAAACTGGAGGGAATTACTGATGTAATTTGGAGCTTAAAGGCCCACATAAAAAGCTACTGTGGGCCAGGTTTGGCCCCCAGGCCTCAAGTTTGAAACATGTAGAGGATGCAATGATGTCTGAGTGCGACTCAAAGTTTTGCCTGACAGAAAAGTACCTGCAAAAAAAAGAGAATGCAAAGAATATACAAGATTAAATAGTCCTGTCAGGACAACATTAACAAAATAAAGACCTACTTACTTTTTGTAAATGTTTAACATGTTTTAGTTGCACGAATTTAAGACTTTAAATGATTCACGGACACTCTGCAGTAGGAAAAACAAAAGCTGCTTTACCAAGAAACAAGGAAGACGTTTACAAAACGTTTGGACTGAACAGAAAGAAAATGTGCAGCAGAAGTGAAATCCAGTCATGTCTTCCAGATTTTTCAGTGCTGCTCAGTTTAGTTTTATTTGAACTGGTTTGATTTGTAACGTTGCACAAAAAGGATTAGTTTTATTTTATATAAAAACAAGTATGTATATTAAATCAAGAATGTGTTTTTATGATGTAAAGCACTTTGGACTGTTGCTGCTGAAATGTGTTGCACAAATAAACTTGATTGGTTGATAAATGTGTAACAGAGGGGTGTAAACATGACTCACAGTTGACCAGCTTGACCATGGCTAGCAGGTTAGCATTGAGCACGAACACCAGGGGGTCTGGGCCTCCCTCCTCCAGCTGCTGCATGAGGACGATCTCCGACGGTCTCTCCTCCACGGCGTAATCTGCGGGAGATTCAGAGCGCTAAAGTCAGGTCAACAGGAAGAAACCAGCCGGAGCGAGACAGAGATTCAAAGTCCTGCTGTCTCTGGTTAGAACAAACACAACAGCTTCCACGACATCGTTTAAGCATCGCCTCAGCGTTCCCGTGAACAAAGCTTCTCCCCTCTCTGTTGGCAATGAGTGGTGCAAAACATGAGCGGTGACACAAAGGCCATGAGGAGCACACTAAATGGACACAAACACAGCAGCAATGAGGAGGCAGCAGAATGGTGAGGATGAAGGCAAGCACCTGTGATGTGGCCTCCCGTACCTCCTTTGACTCCGGTGGAGATGAGGATGGGAGGGAGCCCGTCCTCCGGGATCAGGCTGAGGGAGCTGCCCACGGGGCTGCCCGCCGGCGCCACGGGGGTCTGGGCCGCCTGCAGGGTGGAGAGGAGGCGTTAGGCTACACCTGAAGTGACCCGAATGTGACCTCTGTCTGACCTTTTCATGACATTCCGAACAACACAGACTGGATTTTTTTGGGCTACTTGGATAGGGGGTCATAAATACGGATCTGATGAAGGCGGTGCACCGATTGCAATTTTCTGGTTGATTGTAGATTACTGATCTTTAAAAAAAAAAAAAGCATTCATTTTCTATGCACCACAAATCTGGAACAAACTTCCAGAAAACCGTAAAACAGCTGAAACGCTGACTTCCTTTAAATCCCGACTAAAAACCCTCCTGTTTAGAGTCGTATTTGAAACGCAATCAATTATGAATTCAATGCTGGCATTTAACTTAATGTAATGTTTTGATTGTTGATTCTATGTTGCATGACTCTGTGTTTTTGTGTTTGTTATGATGCAAAGCACTTTGAAATGCCTTGCTGCTGAAATGTGCTACATAAATAAAATTTGATTGATTGATTGATAAAAAGCCTGACCTGCCAATTCTGAATTTGGCCAATACCAATTTTTTTTTTTTTGTCTGACATATTGATAAAAGTGGCAGGAAAGTCGGGGGAGGGACTGTTCTTAACTGCAAACATGCAGCCACAACCTGATGACCGCTCCGTCAGTCAAACCGCTCCGTCAGTCAAACCGCTCTCACAGAAGAGGACAGTGGATGATAAATCCACTCCTAATGTTTTCTAAATCTGGGGTCGGGTCGCAGAGGCAGCAGCCTAAGAAGTCCAGACTTCCCCCAGCAGCTTCAAGTTCAGATTAGTGGAAGAAAAACATTTAGTGTGAAGCTTAATTGGCATCTTCTGTTGATTCCCTCGTCTCCACTGAGTTTCTTTCTACCGCCACATGGCCAGTTTGCCAGAAATTGGCTAGAATTAGATTACCTAATGCAACGTCACTTGAGATAATTTGAGCAGGAAACGTCTCTCGGCTGAGCCACATGAAATTTATTGCTTTCTGCAACAAAACTCACTGGGACAGCTGGTATTCAGAAGCTGTTCACTCCAAACAAATACAAAGGCTTTGCTGTAGGAATACTTTTACATGAGCATAGTCTCATTAATGGTCCAACCAAGCACAATATGTCTCAATATTAAGCTTTTTAGTGCCGTAGCATTTATAATTCTCTTCACTTTAACATGTTTAACATATTACAGTCGGTTATGGAGGCAGGATTTCCTGAGTAAAGAGCTCATTCACTGCAAAACCATACATTTTTATCAAGTATGTTTAGTCTAGTTTCTAGTGCAAATATCGTAAAACATTTGAAATAAGAAAACTAACCCATAGAAGTTCTATTTCCACTGGCAGATTATTTCATTTATAACATGGGAAAATGTCTTGTTATAAGTGAAATAACCTGCCAGTGGAAATGCTACACTTTCATCAACATTAAGGAATTACTGACTCAAAACAAGCTCCTATTTATTGCTGAAAAGTTACTTGTAAGTTAGTTTTGTCTTATTCCAAGTGTGCTGAACTATGTGCACTAGAATCTAGGCTAAAACACTTGATAAAATGTTGCGACTCCCTTTAATCATCCGTTTGAGCTAAGCTAGTAGCATAGGTCGGGGCTACACGCGCTTCGTACCGAACTCGCCACGGGGGCCTCCGCCGTGGCGGACTTGTTGGAGCAGGTGGAGGCGACCCGTGACTGCGAGGACGCCGAGCCGGAGGACGGCGGCTTGGAGGACTCTGCTGTGTCTCCGTTTGGAAGAACCCCGTCGGCGAACCAAACCCTCCTCTGGTCCCGCGACAGGGAGCCTAAACAGGAAACAAACAGAGAACTTAAACAATATCAGAGCGATTAATCCGCCAGTTATTTTAGTGATTGATCAAATATTTTTTTGGTCATTATTAAAAAATAAAATCTTTTTTTAGGGCTGCAATTATTGTTTCAGTAAGCAATTGTTCTTACACTGACGATTAATCGGTTGAAAAAAAAAAAGCTCACATTTTTCATTTAACCACCTTTTTTTTATACGTTATTAGTAATGTATAACAACTGCAAATAACTTATTTTTAAAATAAGAAAATAAATATTTTATGCAATAACATAACATGCTTGTTCATTTATAGAAAACAAAGCTAAAAAATAGATATCTCCAACATCAACATGTAAAACGCTCAGTAATTTCTGCTTTGGTTTATCAATACAGCGTAGGGCTGATATGTTTATTAGTCAATTTATTTTTGATAAACTGATTAATAATTTGAGGGAAAAAGGCAATAGGATTTTTTTAAATGATCATTTTAATCAAGTGAAGCTAAAATTATGACATTTATGTTGGTTTTGGTAGAACATAAAAAGGTTTTCTTCCTTTTTCTTTAATAAAAATTATATATTTTCAGTACAGTTTTGACTTAATTACTGCTCTTGTTATGTTCTTTCAGCAAATGGCATCATTTAAAGTCCAGATGACGATTAACCAATTACTAAATCACTTAATGATTATTTTAATAAACGATTAATTGCGTTTAATCGTTTGTGCCCTAAAAAAAATACATTAATTTCAGGCCCAGTTGTTGGTTTTTCCATCTATTGGGACAGAATGTCATTGCAAAAGGATATAAATAACAGCTTCTTATTCTCTTGCTGATGAGGAACGCACCTTCATTGCCGGGTTGCTTCAGGACTCCCACGGGCACCATGACCGTGGGAGGCGGCGAGCTGAGGACCCCAGACGCCTGCGCCTGCTGCAGGGGGGGGATGGTGGAGCAGTACTCTGCCGGGTTGTTCGGGTTTGGACTCTGATTGACTGCAGTAGCTGGCGTCTCCGCTGATGGAACTGACGGCAACAGAACACAACATCCATAAATATAAAGCAATTGTTGGGTTTCGGATGACGTAGCCCCAACGTCGCCCAATGCAGATGGAGGGCCGGAAGTAAATGCGGCCCATTTATTTCTGTTGATCCAGCATCAAAATGCCTAAAGTCTGAGTCCTGACTTTAGGCATTTTCTTTTTCTTTATCTCGTTCTGATAGAAATAAAGATAAAACATTTTCGTGTTTCAAAGGTAAAATAAGAAGGTAGTTGGTCACAAGGGAGTTAATTTTAAAAAGATTTACAAAAAAAATAAATAAATAAGGAGAAAAGTGGATCAACAATCTACAGCTTAAAATAGGAGGTGCGGAAACTAACAATGCCAGAGTTTGCAGCGCCACTTTCTAACAGGTAACGATCGCATCGTTAAAAATGTATTTTTAGATGTTTTGTTGGACAGCTACTTAGAAAGACAAGCATTCATATGTAAGGTAAGACATATTACTTTTATGCCCTTAGCGTGGTTGTCCTCAGAGTGCTAATATTGTTAGCAGCTAGCTCAGTGCCGAGTCACGGACAGAAAATATGTTTATTCAGTGGGACTTTCATACTTAAAAAAAAAAACCGCTAAATAAATGAAATGTAACATACCCAGCCAGTCACCGTGAGCTGTGACTATTCCCATACCCGGTTCGTGTCTGGACACGAACACGGGGGTTTCAGTAGATCGGTGCGAATCGTTGACCTACATTGGACCTGAATCCAGCTTCCTACAGCGACTCAACATCATCGTACAACTCCAGCAAAAAAATTTGGGTTTACAGAAGCTAAATAAATTATTTACCAGGAGATTCAAGCTCATAGAAATAACATAGTTAGTTCGTTGTTAGCGATAGCATCGTTATAATAGACTAATTACTTAAAATAGTACAATTCACTACTCACCTGGCAGAAACAAGTCGACAGCCATCTAATGTTTTTTTTTATTTTTATCCTAAATGCTTGACCCAACTTGGAACTAAATGATTGTATTTTCCAGGCTTTTGAAATCTTTCTTCTGGCTCGTGGTATAATATGAGGTCTGCAACTCCAGGTAGTTAGTGGACAGCCTCGATGCGGGTAAATCCTCAAGATTATAAGAGAAGTCTTTTTTACCGAGATAATACGGAGCATATCCTAAATATATGCGTATTTTTTCGAGATGCCTCGGCTTTTTCAGCCTATTTAGGGAATTAGCTACTCGTGATCAACTTTGCTTTGTTTTGAACCGGAGAAATCCACTTCCGGCCCGCAATCTGAATTTCGCTTATTGAAACCCAGCAATAAGCTAGATATTTCTAAACATCCAACAATAATAAATGTATTGTTATATTTATTGTTTAGACTAATATCGACATGTTTAGATATCTGATGTATCTGATTTTTGATTGTAATTTATTGATTTCTCCTCTAATTTTGGGTGATGTCAAGAAGCCATAAGCCATCAATTTGTTATTGTGCCAAATTACATCCACAAATATTAACACATTTTACTGAGATTTAAAATGAACAACAGACAAACACAAGCTAGGGTCATTCATTCCCAGTAAATCTGGTAGCTTTAAATGAAA